CAACCCCAACCATTCTGTGATTCTGTGACTTGGGGTGCATCTTCATTGCTGTGGACCTGGGCGAGTGACGCCTGTGGTGGTCCAGAACTGGGATTAAGGCACCTAAGGGCAAACAGTGCAGCTGGAGGAGCTGCTGCTGCAATGTTCATCCCAGGCTGGGCAGGTAGTGAGGTGGGAGCCCTTCCTAAAGCTCTGCAGATTGTTCAACCAGTTGCTTGTGTGTGGCCAAAGACAACCTTTGGTCAATATGGGGCCCAGATTCATATCTCCTCTTGCCAGACACTTAATGAGAAGATTGGCCCAGTTGACTGTTCAGGCAAGTTAAAGAACTGTAGGAAATTAAGTTAAATGTCTGTAGTCAGAACACTGCTTTTAATGTCTTCTCTTTTCTGAACGCTACTGGCTAAATACAGGAGTAAAATTTAAGTAACTTTTTGCTTACTTATCTAATGCTTCACAAGATTTGGGGGGGTAAAGTCTGAGTAGAAGACACTCTTCTAGAGGAAAGAAATCTGGGAAGAAGACTATTCTCCTTTTTCACTTTCCTCTGTCTTATTGCTAAGCCATCAGAAATAAGGATCTGATCAGGAACAATTACTCTGAGTTTAATTTGTTTTGGTTTTCTATTATATGAGACAATAAAATGGGCTCTATTGCAACAGTCTAGCAGTTTAACTTGGTATGTTGGGTAGTATTCAACTAGTCACATGCTAAATGGTTGGTGGATTTCCGCCTGACATCAGTTATGAAATTCCTGTTCTTGCACAACAGCTTTAGAAAAGAGGAAATGTAGTGGGTGTACATACATGATCAACACACAGCCCATACCCCATTGCCACAGCTCGAGAGGCCGCCCAGCTTCTGCCCCTTCCAGCACACACAGCATCAGAGACTTCCACCACACTCTCCAGCTCATGGTGGTGGAACTTAACAGAGAGGCATTCAGTATGCTTTCTCAGCTCTAAACCTTCCTGTGTGATCTCATTTAGGTTCCTGCTCCGGCAGGGGCGTTGGACTAGATGATCTTTCGAGGTCCCTTCCAATCCCCAACATTCTGTGATTCTTCCAGCACATGCTCAGCACAGGGCACTTGCTGGCACTGTGACTACGGGCCACATGCGTCATCGTATCTGTGTGTTGGAATAGCTGAAGTGGTCAATGTCACACCTGGTAAAAGCACTAAAGTGGCTTTTTGCCAGCCCTGCACTGTTCTCCCGAGGGAAGGAAATCCTTGAGGGTGTGTTGGGTGTTGGCTACAAACCAGTGGTTTGCAAACTTTTTTTTTCCACCCCCCCCCTTACCTATCTGAAAATGACTATGTTAGAAGTACAGTGGGAATCTACTTGAGATACTGCTGTTAGTATTTCAGTTACCTTTTAGGAATGTATATTGCCAGTAGATTAAACCTTCATGTGCCTGCACCAAGAATTTTATTTGTGAGGTAGGCAGGCTACCAGAACACAGACCTCTGTCCTGGTATTGTCCATTCAGGGGCAGGTGGACAATAGTGAGTGAAAAGGAAACCACTCAGACACACACACGACACACACAGCTGAACACTGACAAGTGTGAGTCTAGAGCTCTAGCTAATATTGACAACTCTGCCATGAAAAACACTGAGTGTAGATCACTGGTCTCATACCTTAGCATCCTTAGAAGCCAAACAGCAAATCTGGCTGATGGCAGTAAGAATGTTCAGCAAAATAAATATATTAAGATGAACCCTAGAGCATTAACATTAAAAAACCCACCAAAAAACCCAAAAACAAACCACAAAAAAAAATCCCAGCAAAAAAAAAAAAAAAAGTCCTGGAAAGCAGCCCAGGTGGGCTGAAGGGGGGTAAGGTAAGGGGAGGAAGGACTGTGAACTTAGTACAGTTCCAAGCAATCCAACTGAGGTAACATTTGTGTTTGGACAAAGTGAGTTAGGGCAGTAGAACAATTATTAGTGTTGTAGTGGCTGTTGAAGGCTCCTGAGCAAGAAGTGGTGGTTCACTTTTTCATTTTGTTGGCAGCTGAAGTCCTCACTGGAAGCTGGACCTTGTTTATTTTGCCTTTTTAAAAGTTGATAATTTATACCTCAAATAATGATGATGATCATTGTAGGATGTGTCATATACAAGTCAAACTGGAAGTGCAAGACAAGATTTTAATCATTAAAAGTTTGTCGATAACCTCTTATATACACAGTTATACACAAAGTGGTTCACAAGTCCCTCATCTTTGAGAATTCCACTGGTGAGGTTGATTGGCTGAAAGCTTCTCTCTACCTCAATCATCTCACAGCTGGGATGTTCATGTGGGAAACGCCAGCGGGGCTGGTGGCAGGGATGGCTTTTTAAAATGGGCACTGAAAGGAGCCCGTGTTCATCTGCTGTATCCAGAATTTTACAGATGACTGGAGACTCCACCTTGAACACAAGAGATCAAAACATCAAAGACTGTGGAATCACTGATAAACTTTTACAAGAGATTGCAACAGAGCCTGTGCGATTAAGGACAACAGATCACAAGAGGCACAGCATTCGAGCATCCAGAGGGACCTTGACAGGCTTGAGAGCCGGGCCTGTGCTAACCTCATGAAGTTCAACAAGGCCAAATGCAAGGTCCTGCATCTGGGTCAGGGCAACCTCAGGCACCAATACAGGCTGGGTGATGAATGGCTTGAGACCAGCTCTGAAGAGAAGGACTTGGGAGTGGTGG